GGCCGTCGGCCGTGCGGGGGCGCGGAGGCGGCGGTGGGGACGGTTGGGGGGCTGCTGGAGAGGGTGGATGTGATCATTGTGGAGTCCGAGGCGCGGCCGCCGGCAGATCACCGGTCGGGGGCGGTGTATGGGATGCTCTACCAGCGGCTGGGGTTCCTGGGTTTCCTGCACCAGCCGTGGGGCCCCGCGGGGCTGCGGCTGGGCTGGGCGCGGCAGCCGGCCGGCCGCGCGGCGGCGCGGGCGGCGGTGGCGGCGGCGAGCTGAGGCGTGCGCACGCGCGCGCGTTTCGGCCGCCGCGCAGCCGCTGGGGGATGAGTTCAGATGACTGAACAGCACACTGCTTGCCCTGGCTTGCCTGCTGTGTTTGTACCCTCATTTGTGACCCTCACATGCAGCACACGGGCCCTGTTGCTGGCGTTTGTTTATTTGCCTTGACAGGGCTGTGCGCAAGTTGACCTTGTTGCAGCGTCGTGGGTTGCCGTGCTGCACTGTGCTTTTGAACATTTGAGTTTTGACGCCTCGGGCTTCATCATACAGCTGCACATACATACCAGCCGCTTCAAACACACACGCACAGACGCACGCACATACATACACACACAAACGCGCTCACTTGTACTCCCACACACCCCAGCAGCATAACATTTGCGCCCCTGCATACTCTGTGCAGTATGTATATTTTGTAAGCATAATCTGTGCAGCCCGCTTTTACTTTGGTATTACAAAACAGCCGGATCCCAACGCGCGTCGATAAGGACAACCAGCCCCAGCAGAACGCATACGGCGAGGGAGGGTGCGCACACGCCGGGCCGCGGCGGCGGAGCAGCAGCATTGAATGTCGGGCTGTGAATGGCAGCGAACGGGGCCACGCACCAGAATGGCGGCGCTGCCCTGCCAATAATCACCAATCAAAAGCCAGGGCAGCCGTGGGTTAGGACAGCTGCCGCCTCCGTGCAGGCGTTTGAGACCAATCAGTTGCAGGCCACGTCTTCTGAGGACCAGATATAGGATTTGAGGTACATTCGAGGCACAACCCCCGCTCCCATACAACTACTGCCACCCGCCGCCGCCGCCGCCGCCGCCGCCGCCGCCGCCGCTGCCGCCGCTGCCCGGCCACGTCCCTGCGGGCCCATCCGACGCCGGCCGCTGCTCCCCACTGCCGCTGGCGGCCGTTCCCGCACCCGCGCCTGCGCTCGTGCTCGCGCCGCCGCGGGGGGCCTCAGCGCCCATGCCGCGCGCGAGCTGGGACAGCAGGGCGCCGACTGCGCCGCCCGCGCCGCCCGCCACGCGGCCGAGCGCCTCTGCGTCCCGCAGCCGCCGGTCCAGCTGCCGCCACGTCTCCTGGAACCTCTGGTGGTTCGAGATTGGAAGTTTGGATGGGAGTGGTATGCAGGTGATTTGTGTTTGCTCGATATCAGAGGAGCGCTTGTGGTATGCAGGTGATTTGTGTTTGCTCGATATCAGAGGAGCGCTTGTGTTTGAGGGGTAAAGCTGGGATGGGGGGCAGAGGCGGGCACCATGCAGTGCTGGGGTGCAGTAGGCGAGAGGAGCCCCCACCATCCCCCGCTGCCCCAAGCCAACCCCTTCCCCCTTCAGCCGTTCGGCGGGCGCCCCTTGCGCGCCTGCGCCGCCCTAGCAGTGCGCCCTGAGCGTCAGGCGCTGACCGCGCGGCGTCACCAGCCGACCGCCACCGTGGCTGACCGCAGCGTCGGAGCATCATTTGGACTGATGACGTCATGGGAGACCCCACAAACACATTTGAAATTGGAGGGCGAAGCGCTCACCGGCGAAAAGTCTGTGAGCATGTAGAGCTCTGTCGCCGCGTACACGCCCCCCACTAGCGCCCTCTTCCAGTACCAGTCCGCCCCCACCGCGCCGTCCCCCGCAGCCGCCAGCGCCTCGTCAGCAACCTCCGCCAGCAGCGCCGCGCCCGCCGCCGCCTGCGCCGGCGCCGCGAGCGCCGCGAGCGCGCCCGGCCACGAGTCGATGTGCGGGGCGACCCCGAGCTCGAGGCGGCGGCGCAGCGCGGCGGCGAGGCGGACGCGCTGGTCGGGGCTGGACAGCGCAGCCGCGAGCGCCGCGACGGCTGGGTCGACGCCGGCGCCCGCATCGTCGGGGCCGCCGCCGCCGTCTTCTTGCCCGTCCCGCCCGCCGCCGCCGCGGCGCTCCAGCAGCTGCCGCGCCGCCGCCGCGTCCTCCGCGAGCCGCCGATTGGCGCGGCGCGCGACGGCGCGCGCGAGGCCGGCGCCGCCGCCAGGCAGCGCGGCGGCGGCGGCGGGGGAGAGGCCGAGGTCGCGCGCCGCGGCGGTCAGGGCTGCGTGGGACCAGCCGAGCCGGTTGACGTGTTTGAGCGCCTGGTTTCAGGGGTTGATGTCACATGCTGGGTGTGAGGTTTGAGGGGCTTGATTCGGGGCGGCTAGGGGGTCGAGCAATGGCAGCGGCGGGGGCGCTCTGCCTCGGCCCGGCGACGTTCAAACGTCCAGCCCCTGGGACCCAGGGGTTTCGGCTCGAGACATGCATGCCATAAGCCGCATCACGTCCCACCCACCGCATCCACAAGCTGCTCCTTGAGCGCTTCGCCTCGATCGTCACCGCCGCCGCCGCTCGGCCCCGCCTCCGGCTGTGGCGCGGCCCCTGCGTGCGCTGCTGCTGCAGCGGTGTGGCGACGCGTCGCGAGGAGCAGATGCTGCTGCAACACGGCCTGCTCGCCACCCCGTCGCAATAAGTCACCACAACGTAGCAAGACGGGCAGCATCTTGCTAGGAGGCGCCGAGTTGGTGCCGTATGTGAGACCGCTGGTCGTTGGCGCTGATGAATGCAGAGCGCTCGTATGTCAGTATCAGTGTCAAAGACGCAACTCCATCCTCTGCTGTCAATGCGCACTTGTCCAAAGGCTCGATCTTCGCCAGGCGTCACTTGTGCCTGGGTGTGTGGTGACGCGCTCAACCGCATGCTCGCAGGCGAGTGGACACATGCTGAGTGCTGTGCCTTATGTTGCTGGCACAATCGCCTTGAACATGTACGGCATGTTTTGGGGGGACAGCATGCATGTGCGTGTATATGCCAACATGCGCGACATGCCGTCGCTACGCAGGACGTGCAGCGCAGACCATGTGTTCATCTGCTCGCCTGCCCTGTGCATTTGCACATGCGGCATGCCTTCTGCAGAATCACAAGCAACCCAGCACCCCAAACCCAGTTCGGCATCGGCCCCACTCTAAACTCCCCCGTCACGCGCGCGATAGCAGTCACCTGTCTCAAGGGTTACATACGCCGCCCTTCCATGGGCAGTCAGCGGCACTGGAGAGTGAGTTTGTCATGAGATATGTTTCTTGTGGCAATTGTGCATGTGTATATTCTAGCCTGCCCCTGCCAACTGCCCCGCACTATGCATGCAGCACCGACAACACATCAATCCCAAGCCAAGCGGCGCCCGTGCTTGTTCGGGGCCGGCAGGCCTGGTGTTGGGGCGTGCCCTCAGCGCAGGCGGCCCCGGCGCCTGTAAGCTGTTCTGTGATGACAAGAGATGGGGGGATGCGCGCTCTAGGAAGCAAGCAAAGCTTCTTCAGCAGACGGTCCAACTTCAATACCACGGTTGCGAGTGACGGCGAGGGGAGCAGCAACACCACCAGCCGAAAGCCGGGTGCAATCAATCTAGCGCATGGCATCAGGCTTTGTAACTCAAATCAGCAGCATTTGAGGGGCGGTCAGCGGGGCCAAGACAGGCCCGGCACCACCGCCCGCGGGGCAAAATGAATGAGTGCAGTGCGGCTCAAACGGCGCAGCAAAGGCCGCGCGCGCATTGTTTTGTTGCTACAGGTCCCTGCGTTTTGCGGTCTACGCAGAAAGCCTGAGATCTTCACGGAAAGATTCTCTGATGAGATGCTCGCACCAACGACCACAGGGTCTCATGCGGGTTGCAGGTCAAACACTGCGGTCAATTCAGGGGCAGGCCACCAGGGCGGCGCGCCCGACCGGGTCGCTTCCAGCACAGCAGATGGCCCGAGGAACGCCGCTGCGCCGCTTCCAGCCACGGCTGGGCTTGCAGACGGGCACAGTCAATACTTCATAACGCGTACTGTAGCGCGCGCCCGCCGACGCCAGAGCTGCCCCAGCTCATTAGGCTTAGCTGTGCGTCGGCTGGCCCCTGGACGGGCGCACCTGCGGCTTCTTGTCACCCGCCTTGCTGTCGGGCGCGATGTACGGCGGCGCGAGCGCGTCCAGGCACGACTTGGACAGCCCGAGGCTGTTGCCGGCGCACTGCGCGAGCACCGCGGTGTACTCGTAGTCGTGGTGGTTGAGCGCGCCGTTGCGGCGGCTGGGGCAGGTCTGCTTGCGCGGCGAGAGCTTCAGGCAGGAGGTCGTGGTGAGGGCGGTGGGGCAGGTGGTGTTGGCGCCGATCCGGAGGCGGGGGATCTGGGTGCCGTAGCCGGCGATGCCGGGGGGCAGCGTCGGGACCTGGGGCGGGCAGCGCAGGATCGGTGGGGGTGGTTTTTTAGGGGCTGTTTGAGCGTGCGGGGCCGGGAAACGCAAGAGGGCGCTTTGGCGGGAAAGGGGATTGAGGTGCAGCCGGGCGGTTGCTTGGCAATTGGTAATCGAGAGCAGTTTGCGAGAACACTCGCAAATAAGCACGCGCCGCCCCACAGCCGCCGCCTGCAGCACAACCCCTCTCTGCCCCGCCCACCCCACCCGGGCCCCCGGGC